CGCCCTCTGGGACCCGAAGACTGGAGAGGAGGTCCCAAGACGGGGGAGGGGACCCGAAGACGGGGGAGGAGGACCGAAGACTGGGGAGGGGACCCGAAGACGGCAGAGGAGGACCGAAGATGGGGGAGGAGGATTGAAGCCGGAGCCACAGCGGCCCCGCGGCGCTTCCGCTTACCTCATCTGTAGAGTCCAGACCACCGCTCCTCACCTCTGCCCCCGGCACAGCCCTCACCGTTAACCTGAGGGAAATGCGTATCCACGACTGCGGCAACGCCTCCAGAGACTGCGAGTCCCCACAGGCCGCGCGGGCGGCAGTCCTGTCAGAAGCCGCACGCTCCCCAGGTCGGGACGCGCCTTCTCGGTCTTTCCACATCTGAGGCGAGCACCGCGCCGGCGGCCAGACGGCGGCAGAGTCCGCCAATGAGAACGCGTGTCTGCTGGCAGGTGACCGCAAGGACTCATCTGATTGGTTAAGGGAAGGGCTGCCTTTCTCCTGAAGGAGCGGACGACTCAAGTGCATCAGAAGTAGCGTTGTTGTGTCAGGTTGTCTGTCATAAACCGAGCGACGGTTTGTCCTTCTCTTTTCCCGGGAATTAGTGATTGCTCAGCCCTGTTAGAGAAAAGACAGCAGGATGTCTCTACGCTGCGGGGGCGCCGTCCGCACCGTGGGCCCCCAGGTATTTGGAAGTTATTTACACAGTCCAGTCAGAGCAGTAAGTTCCTTGCCAGATAAAAAAAAGGAATTTTTACAGAATGGACCAGACCTTCAGGATTTTGTGTCTGGTGATCTTGCAGACAAGAGCACCGGGATGACTATAAAGGAAACTTAAAACGCCAGAAAGGAGAAAGATTAAGACTACCTCCATGGCTAAAGACAGAGATTCCCATGGGGAAAAATTACAATAAACTGAAAAATACATTGCGAAACTTAAATCTCCATACAGTGTGTGAGGAAGCTCGATGTCCCAATATTGGAGAGTGCTGGGGAGGTGGAGAACATGCCACCGCCACGGCCACTATCATGTTGATGGGTGACACATGTACAAGAGGTTGTAGATTTTGTTCTGTTAAAACTGCAAGAACTCCACCTCCACTAGATGCCAATGAGCCCTACAATACTGCAAAGGCAATTGCTGAGTGGGGTCTGGATTATGTTGGCCTGACGTCTGTGGATCGAGATGATATGCCTGATGGGGAAGCAGAGCACTTTGCAAAGACTGTGTCTTACTTAAAGGAAAGGAATCCAAAAATTCTCGTGGAGTGTCTCACCCCTGATTTCCGAGGAGATCTTAAAGCAATAGAAAAAGTTGCTCTGTCAGGATTAGATGTATACGCACATAATGTAGAAACAGTTCCAGAATTTCAGAGGAAAGTTCGTGATCCCCGGGCCAGTTTCGACCAGTCCCTACGTGTACTGAAACACGCCAAGGAGGTTCGGCCTGATGTAATTTCTAAAACGTCTATAATGTAGGGTTTAGGTGAGAAGGATGAGCAAGTGTATGCAACAATGGAAGCGCTTCGTGAGGCAGATGTGGACTGTCTGACTTTAGGACAATATATGCAGCCGACAAAGCGCCACCTTAAGGTTGAAGAATACATTACTCCTGAAAAATTCAAGTACTGGGAAAAGGTAGGAAATGAACTTGGATTTCATTATACTGCAAGTGGTCCTCTTGTGCGTTCTTCATATAAAGCAGGTGAATTTTTCCTGAAAAATCTAGTGGCTAAAAGAAAAACAAAAGCCCTGTAACACTTAACAAGATGTTCAAGATCACAGAAATTTTTAAAATGTGATTCCAGTTGGTAACAGAGATGATGGTAAAATGGCTAGACTTAGACATGTCCAGGTCTTTTTGTTTTAAGAAAAATGTCAATAAGCTATGCATGTTTAATTATTGTAATTCATCTATCTCTTAACGTATCTTCTTTGTCCCAATAAATAATTGCTTGTTATGATATAATCATAAAAAAAAAGAAGTAGCGTTGTTACTCGTGTTAAAACATGTAAAGAAAAATGGTTTCTTTTCTGGCCTTTTAAAGGAAGCAAACTACAAAGTTTATACTTGAGGGCTTGGAAGGTATTATGAATACTCTCTCACAGTGAAATCCTCAACAGGAATTCCAGAATACTTTTTTTAAACTAAGAAACTTCAAAATTGGAATGTGAAAAGGAATATATATAAAACTGAACCACTGTGCTGTACACCAGAAACTAACACAGCATTGTAAACTGACTATATTTTAATTTAAACAATTCTTTTCATTTTAAATTTAAAAAGTCATTACATATTTTAAAAAAAGAAACTTCAAAATTGAACTTATTGTTGATATTTAAGGTGGGGGCTACACGGCTTCAAACTTACTCTGAATGAAACCAGTACTTTTTGCTCCCAATTGATGGGATTCTACTAACAACACTTTTAAATTGTTTGAAATACCTAGTCTTACTAGGTTTTAGAAGTCTTAAACCCTAATACCCACCTTTACCTTACTTTTCTGTAGGTAGGCTGTTATAGAAATGGCGGGTGGTGATTTTAACTTTCACAGAAGTCATCACCTGGTGTTAAAACACTCCATGTTTATGCCTTATCTGTTCCTGCAGTTTGTTGGAGTAGAGCACAAAGATTACTGCCAGCCCTCCCTCTAATTATTTAAATCTATGGACCAGCTTCATAGCTTTACTTCTCTTATGTTTCCCTCCTTTTCTTTGTACATCAGCCTTCTTCCTCCTCTTAGGTATTTCTGGGATGGAGTTTTCTATTAGTTTCATTTTTCTTTCTTCTCCCACATAAGGAATAGAACTATAATTATATCTTGACTTCTCCGTTTGTGTTTTTTGACAACTGTTTTGTTCCTTTTACATTCCTTACTTTTCCCAAATATGTTCATCTGTTAAATAATTTCCAGAAGTGTGATTTTATTTGTGTTCATCACACACTTTTCAACTTTTGCAGTAACAAAACAGAGTTACCACTAAAGTTCAACTGTATATGGTATTTACATTTTAGTACCCAATGGCTCTGTGCATTATTAAACTCACAGAATAGTCTTCTAGTTTATTTAGAGAATAAAGATTCTAAGAAAGATTTTTATATTCTTAGAAGACAAAAACAAAACTGTCTCCCTTGCTGAGCCATTCTTTTCTGACCTACCTTTAAGTGTATGAAGTGCTTAACCTAAGCCTCTCTCTCTTCTATAACCACAAATTCCTCCAGGGAGTTCTCACCCAAATCTTTGGTTTTTAATGCCACAGTATAACCCAGTGATTGTCAAATCTCCGTCATCAGACTTGACCTCTCCTTAGTGCTTGAGACTAAGCTGCTTATTTGACATCTCCCCTTGATGTCATAAACCCAGCACAGTCAAGAGTACACTTACTATTAATGTCTTCCTTTCTCTATGCCTTTCAACCATCTTCCTTATCTCAACAATACACTCAAATCCAAAAATCTTTGATTCCCCTTTTTCCCTTACCTCTCAAACCCAATGCAATAATGATTCTGAACCCGAGTCCTTCTGCTGCCTTGACTACCACCCAGTTCAAGCTCTGTCATTTCTCATCTTCTCCATCCCTCTCTCCAAGCAGCAACCAGTACAAAAACTAGAAACATAAATTGTGTAACACACTTGCTTACAACCACCCAATAGCTCTCTATTGAACTTAAAATAAGACCCAAATCTCTTATCCTGGTCTGCAAAGCCCTTAATGATTTGGCCCTTGTTGATCTCTCTGTCCTAATCTCATGTCACTTGCCCATTTCACCTGCTAGATTCCAACCAGGCTCTTATCTGGGAACAATGCATTCTCATTTTCACTTTAGAGTTGTCGCACCATCTCTTCTATCTACAGTGTTCCTTCCTCCACACATCCAATGGCTGCTTCCTTCTGGCTGTTCAATAGTCAGAGAGGCCGTCTATGACCAAACCAATCTAATTGAGTCATCCTGTCATGTACCACCAACTTATCCTCCACAGTATGATCACTAACTGTTAACTAAATTCTTTTCTGTCTTCCTCCACTAGAATAAAAGATACAGAAGGGGATGAACTCTGTCTCAACCACTGCTCTATCACCACAATTTGGGACATTGCTTAGCACATAGTAGGCATTCAATAAAGCTTTTATTAAATGAATGAAGTTAAAGAAGTGACTTTAAATGTAACGAAACTATGAATTTCATGGCATTTT